TGCTGAGACTGAGCAATATTCGATACCGCGAAACATCTCCGCAGTTATGTTTTCTTTCGGCGCAGGAGATGTGCGGTAATCAAAAGTTAAGAATGTATCTAAACATTTACAATAACATACTACCAAATTTTCATGTGCGTAGTCCACTGCAACAGCCGAACGTACGAACGAATAGGGTGACTATAGCGCATTTTATGAAAACGTCACAAGATTTTATGGCTGTTTTAAATCAATAATTACGAAGAAACCATAAAGCCTACAAGGTTACTACCAAAGGCACAAATCTAGGGAACTGCATGGAAATTGTTTTGTAGAACAACTAAATAAACAGAAATGAAAATTTTCAACTTAAAAAATTGAAGTTTGAACCAGTTTTTTTGGTACTTTCAACTAGAGTCGGTGTATAATGAGTCACGCCAAGAGAAAAACAGTTGAACTCGCATCACGGTTTTCGAAAGATTCCCTTTCTTTTAACTTGGCAACAGAGGACTTCTGCATCAACTTCAAACGACTTTTAGCGAGGAAAAAAATTAACGGCTGTAGTAAATCATTATATCAGTGATTTTGTCGAATTATCTTAAATAAAAATAGTAGAAATTGTCATTACTGATCATTACAAAACGTATCGCATGACAAATGTAATGCTCACTGTGTGTATATGACCATTTCTTCGATTATATTTTATATTGATTTGCAGTACCTTTCGTGGACCTTTCATAGCATCGTAATGCTTGTTTACTTTGCACGATAGGTAGCCGGTTTGACAGCTCAATAGGTAGACTTGGCTTCACTCTTGGCGTGACTCATTATACACCGACTCTACTTTCAACATACTTTTCAATTTTAATGTATCATAATTAACTTTAATCGAGTTCTTTTTCAAAGAGCATTGATAGCTAAGACTTTAATCTTTCATTTGCTATGTTGAAATTCGAAAACCACATTAAGATTAAAAAATATAGCTAACCAAAGTTGGCAATACAAAAAAATATAAAATGTTGAATAACTCACTTAGCAGTCATTTCCGACCCTATGTTTCATGGGGATTTTTTTCATAACTTTAGGAGCCCTATCTACCCTGATAATATGTAAAACCCGGAACCAAACACCCTGTATAACCCCCCTAAGTACTCATCCTCTAGGTAAACAAGTCAAGATCACAGGTATAAAAATGAAACTAAATTTTGCTGAAATCGACTTGAATTTTTCATCCTACTTCGTCTATCTTTTGAGATTTCCTTGTCATAAATTTGGCTTTTATTAACTATGAGGAACCATCTTTTAAGCTCTATTTGTAAACAGAGTAATTGGAGAGTTTATGATGCACTTTAAAAAGCCTAATAAGCAACAATAAATGCGTTTTGCTCTAATGCAAAACCTAATGGTTTTATGGTTGCTTTTATAATGATAGAACACATTTATAAAGTATTTTATCAAGACATTAATAAGCATTTGCTAATGCCGTTTATGCTTGAATTACAGAACAGTTTTAAGGAGGGTTCGAGAACTGTTTTAAATTTATTTTTAAAACAAGACAGTTTTTGACTTTCTTGCCAGACTATAAAAAGTTTTTTTAAAACAGCAAAAAACTGATTTTTTAAGCAGGAATGTTTTACACTTTGAAATACTATATTTAAACGAAATGGATTGTTAATTGCCGTTATAAAACCATCATAAATCAGAGTGGATGCTAAATGGCTACTGAATTGTTACTTGGGTGCAACTACTTGTTCTGACTGTTCTAATGTGCCATTAAAAGTTATGGACCGCGGTTTGCAATTACTAGGTTTTAATAAAGATTTCAAAATTTTCCATTACTCTTTGCTGTTGTTTTGATGCTGATCAATCTTCCTTTGAACATATTCACAACGAGTTTTCTTTATCGATTGTAAATACTTATTACGCAAGATTGTCTACCTATTCCAATGATTGTCATTATTTGATCTACAAAACGTTTTGTACCATGTGTCCCTCTTCCGTTTAAGACGCAAAAGATCCAAATTGTACCAGCTGAATATTTATCACAGCACTGCGAAGTACACTATAAAGTTTGCCATTACAAATACCGCCATATTTTGTGTACATCACGCATACGATCACGCTGATTCAAAAATATTTTTCGTTGAATTAATCGAATAATATACTTCAATTTATATTAAACATCTATTAGGCCCTGAGTCAAAAATATATCGAGTTGAATTTAAAAATAATGTCTCTGCTTTCATGGCAACCGAAGCAAATGTTGGTCCCTTTTCCTCCAACAATCAACAAGAAGATACACACTCATTTTTTATTGCTGGAAACCAGCAAAATTTTGCAGGATTTTGCCGAGCTGGAAAGCCAGCAATCCTTCCAGCAAAATAAATTTTGCTGGTTTTCCAGCAAATCTTTTTTGACAGAAGGTTGCTGGCGGTTACTGGTTATCACCAGTATTGTCGATCGTTCAGCAATTATAAACGCACGTTTTTCTCACTTTATTAAACAAAATAATGCAAAACGAATGAGAACTCATTTAAAAACTATTTTATTCAGTTCATATCTGCCCTTAAGCACTAAACGTTCAAATATATCCAAGATCATCTCTACTAGCACCGGATGATAATTTTTCCGAAAGAATCTTTTCCACCGGAATAACCTAAAATTAAACACAACCTGCTAAGAGATAATATTTCCTTCAATGTATTCCCGTCTTACCGTTATTGTTACGAACAATAGTGAACTTCTTCAATCAGAAACCAGGAATTCTTAATACAATACATTTTTGGTGAATTTTGCGGTCGTCAAACTAATGAGAAAAATCACAAGTCTTTTTGACAGTTTATGATTTGCTGGTTTCCAGCAAAAAACTGATTTACTGGGTTTTCAGTAATTCAAAAGGTGTTTGCTGTTGTTTCAGCAAAAATCGTATTGCTGGATCATTTTCAGCAAACCATTTTGCTGGAATATGAAAACAAAATTTGGTGTGAGCTGAGTGCACTGAGGCAAAAGAACGAAAGAATTCCACAATAACCACTTAGGGGCTGTTCATTAACTACGTAGACAGTTTTTTTTGGGAATTTTGCCCCTCTCCTTCCCTTGCGTAGAAAATTGTCCAGACACATTTTTTTTTAATTTGTGTGGGCAGTGGATAATTGCCAAACTTCCTCCCTCCTCTACTCGTCTTTCAACGCTCGGGGTAATTAGATTGTAAAAGGCGTATAAGAGCTACATCATGTTTCACGAAAATCATTCATAAGTTTGGCATATGAAATTCAAATGTGTCGTTCAAAAGTCGAGCCTTATGAAATTCTTAAGTTTAATTGCCCCAGTTTGGTTAGCACACGAGACAGACATGAAAATGAACTGGGTTCAAGACTCGTTGAATTCGTACAGTATTTATTTTTTTTATTTTTTATATTTCTGTAATAGCTCAATAGGATATTGTTATTGTGAAGCTCAAAAACTCTGTTATTCATGAGATATGTCAATAGCTTACTTTGCTATTACTCGGTTATTAGTCCATAGGTTTTCGGATATTATTTTTGATATTTTTCATCTCATATCGATCAAATCAATAGCAGAAATAGTTCTTTAGATTTACTATTTGTGATATAAAAATATGCTATAAAATATCTTACCAATTTTATTATACTCGAGATACACTTTGACGATTAATTTCATTGATTTACTGGTTAATATTTCAATATCAATAAAATTGTCAGCACTGGAAACAATCACACATTGGCTAGAGTACAAGTATCGTTGGAGTGGGCGACCCCGGCGTAGTGGTTAGCATCCATACCTCTCACGTCAAAGTCACGAGTTCAAATCTCACCCCCGGACAAGTCACGAATGACCCAAAAGCGTTAAAGTGACTATAATAAAAAAAGTCTCGTTGGAACCATGCTGATGTTTGTTTTTATAATTACTCATTTTGCAAATGGTTTGATAGTAGGTTTGATATTTCAACAACTAATTTTGCCATTAAAACTTGCTATTGGTTTGATATCCTCTTCTAATCGGGTAGGTACGCATAGCTTAAAGACATTCAAGTAGATAATGTTTTTATCATGTACAAAAGGGTCTGACTATTGATGCAATTACCTTATGCCCTTATTCCCCATTGAAACAATCACAAAATTATGTTATATTCGTTTCAAACACCACTGCACGGCAAATGAGAACAACCCAAATTTGAGTTAAGTATACTCATAATCGCCAAAAGTGCAGGAACTCAGTGATGAGTAAATTTGCCTCATGTTTTTCTGTGGAAAACCTAAAAAAACTGCCGGAAAATGAGGAAGTTTGACGAAAATTTTACTTGGCTTAGTAGTATCAATAGACTGAATGAATCCATTCTTTACTTTTTTCATATTCGGGAATCTGTTACTGGAAAAAACCTGGAAAAAAACCTCGAAAAACATGAGGCAAATTTACTCATCGCAGAGTTCCTGCACTTTATGTGATTTATGAGTGAGCTAAACTCAAATTTGGGTCGATCTCATTCGCCGTGTGTATTAACCGTAATTCTATGTCAATGCCCAGCAGTATCGCCTCCTTCCACGTCTGCTTGACAAGCATTAGGACTACATTTTATTATTATGCAAACACCATTTAGTAATGGCACGCAATTTTCCACTAGCCAGAACCATTTTCCAAAACATGCTATTTCACTTCCCTTTTCACGCCGGGATTCCCTGTCACTACACTCGTTATCAATTATCGACGACACGGAGGACTACTACTACTACTGTCGAATGGCACCATTTCCCGGTTTCTCCTTGGAAGATTGATCTCTCTCTATATATATACATTGTACAACATCCTAGACTTGTCCGGTAGAAGCCTTTCATGCTTCAAGTCAAGGCCTTGAATTTTACTTGTAATAGTTAAAACGCGTGTGTACTTGATGGATCTGCATTAGCCTGATGTTTACAAGAGCGTCTTCTTTTCATAATCCTATCTTATGTTTTCTGATTGCAGCCGCAACTGTTCCAGGCCTAAAAAAAGAAACGCCACTGTCGCCGACGACAACGATGATGAATCCCACCACAGCCACCGTCCTGCTGGGGCTGGCTATAACAGTGCTCTGTTTGGTTCATGTGATAGATTGTGGCGTAATGGATAGGGTAGGTGTCACGTGATTTTTCCCCCATTTGCTCACAAACTGACTCTCACCCCTTTTATCTCGCTCATACACACACATTGCAAAACGTCAGGAACCACGTGCCTACAAGCAGTACAACACCGAACCATCGCCGGAGAAGCGACCGTTTTGCAACGCATTCACCGGATGTGGCAAGAAGCGTTCCAGCGTGGTGCCCGTGACGCCGGTTAACATGATACACAGACACCAGGCTACCACGTCGGAGCAGAACCGAGCGAAGGTGACGGAGGGATTCGACCCCAACGAAGACTCGCTGTCCAATCTGATTGACCTGAACACGGAACCCGCCGTCGAGGACCTCATGAGACAGATCATGTCCGAAGCGAAACTCTGGGAGGCCATTCAGGAAGCCAATCGGGAAATCTACCTGCAGAAACAGGGACAGAAGTCGGAATCGAACTCGTTTCCAATTTCGTTCAGCACGCAGTAAAAGGGGGTTGTTTGTCGGGGTTTTAGATTAGGGTACGGTTTAACGTAGCTCACAGGCGCAAAAACTTAATAATATACTCCTTTGATTGAAACTCGCTCGCATTGAGAGAATGGAAACGGTTGCTGTCCAGAATCACTCTTGCTCCAATGAAATTCCTGTTGCCAAAGATTACCGCAGTTATCATGTGTCTATTTTTCGCTTAAGAATTATGGAACAGTTTTAGGATTAAGGTCAATGTAAATAATGCTAAAAGAGAGGTGAAGTTTTACAAATTTCCACTTGAGATTGTTGCAATAAATTTCGAATATTAACAGTGTAAGAGGAGCTTTTCTTTTTAACGGTATCGGTAACAATTCGCATTGGTGAAACATACATAGAGCTTTAATCTTGCAGAAAACAATCAATCAACAATTATAATGAATCATCGGGTGAAATTCAGAGATGGTGGACCTAGAGGTCGGCGACGTATCCCTCCACGTAGATTCCCGGAGCGATCTCCTCCTGTATGTAGTTGTTCCTGTTGTCGTCGTCGTAGGGCGTCGGCGAACGGCTACGGGATGGTCCGGCCTGAGAGGTTTCGTTGAACATCATCGTATCGTGGGAAAGCGAAAATTTACGTGACACTGGCGAGGTTGAGCCGTTTGCATTATCCAGACCCTGGCAAGACTTGGGACGATTCTCGGACATCTTGCTTTGGTAGACTATATTACCCTCCGAACGGTTGAAGCTATCCATGTACGAATTATTGTTGTTGTTGTTGTTGTTGTTGTTGTTGGCATCGTCGAAATCAAAGTTGGATATAGACATTCGTTGGTTGTCGTTAGCGCGTTTCATCGAAGCTCGGTTATAGTTGGTTTTACGGAGCATTCCCTGAAAGTTGAACGGTGGTTCGTCGTCCATGTCTTCGTTCTAAAATAATATGGACCATTTTACTTTTTCATACTCAAACACCGAGCAAGGGAGGGGGGGGGGGGTGTACCTTACCTCATCCATGCTCTTCTTGCCAATCATTTGCATTTCCTTGATCGGGTTAATCTTGCTCGGAGTGATCTTTGGTTCGTAACTGTAGTCTTGGCCAGATTTCGGTTCCCATTGTTTGGTGGGCTGCGGAGCTGGTCGTTTCTTGTTGTTTCTGCTTTCGATCGGTGGGGATGGCTCCTTATCCATAACGGCCGGTGCTTTTGGTGCTGGACGTTTCTTGTAGATGGCTGCCTTCGGCATAGGATCTTCCATAGTGGGCGTCGTAGTGCTGAACCTATTTCGGATGTCATCGACGCTTTGCCGAGCATAAGGAACCGGAGTGTACACCGAAGACATGTTCACCGGTGAAACCGAAGATTTACGTGCTGGGTATTCTGCCTGATGTCGGGGTGATAATCTGTGGAAAATAGAAATGTAATTAATTTCATTCTCAATCAGAAGAATGCGACCGTACTTTTTGATCGGTAGGCTCGGATCTCTATGGAACGGTTCGTTGGCCATGCCGTAGTCCATGGAGCCATTCTGATTGCCACGTTGCGCCGAGTAGGTTATATCCGCAGATAAGTTCTTCCTCCGTCTCAATGGAGCATCCCAGTCTTCGGTGTCGGAATCGTTCCCGGTGTACATGTACGATACAGCCGACGGATCACACATGTACGTCGTATCGAAGAATGGAATTTCATCCCAGCGGAAACGTAGTTTCCAAACGGTCGGGCGAGTTTGACCCAGTACGGCTCGATTTCGCTGGGATGAATCAATCTTCTCCAGCAGAATACAGTTGCTACATGTTACAGCTCCAGCGACAAAGCGTTGATTAAAAATGTGAACCTAAAGGTACGTTGCTCAATCAGTTTCTGAAATTAAATGTAATCCTAAACGAATACCTGTTGGGAGAAATTGACCAGATCCTGATAGCGAGCAGCGCGGTACTGCAGTAAAATTTGATACATCGATTTCTTCATCCATCGAGTAGCGAATGGTCTCACAAATTCTGCCGTTTCACTGTCCAGCTTTCCAGTTCGTTCGTTAATCAACGGACAGTATTTTTTCCTAGCCATATGTCCCCGAAAAGCTGTTTGGATTCTCAAAGCTGCTTGTTCTGGATCGTCCATTGTTTGTCGTTTTCGAACTAAAATGATCATCCACTTCAGATTCTCAACCTGTCCTAAAAATCATAATACTCACTTGACTCTCTGTGTAGACTCTTCAACTTTGAAGCAATGCATCTCTTTGCCAGGAAAGCTCTCATCATTGCTTGAACCTTGATGATCTTCTTAACCTGCGTCTCGTACAAATGCGACAAATACTCCACATTATAGTACTTTAAGAACACCTTCGTTTTCCCAATGACCCAACCTTCCAGTTTCAAACGAATCAACAGTAAACGGCAGTTGTCTCTAGTCATTTCAACATTTTCTTCAAATTCAAACGCCAAAAACTGATAGCGTCTCAGGAATTCCTGGAACGGGATCCGGTGCGAGAAGCCCTTCTGTCGAGCTTTGGCCGTATCCAGGACGGCCATCGCTCGAACCTGTTGTCGAACCATCTCCCTGGATAACCCGTTCGGTTGGTACTCCAGATCGGATCGGATGCAACGAACAAAGTGAGTACCACCACTATTCGGTCCAATAGCCAAGGTGCGAATCAACTCCAGACAGGTGGCCCGGAACACATTGGAAATGGTACGCATTTTGTGAACCTGCGAGTACTGACCCTTGGACAATGTGTTCATCATCTTCTTGGCTTTGCTCTTCTCTGCCACCAGCGCGGCGCCCCACCGTTTCTTCTTGTTCGGTTTCTGCGTCTGCTTTCCTAGGGCTTCCTCGGCAGCCATCGTCAGATTGCCCGTCCGGGACAATTGATTCGAGAACATGATCTTCACAACCGTTTCGTTGGAATTCCTCAGTGTTTCAATCATCTCCGGTGGGATAAAGTCCCGGTTCTTGTCGGCCATGTCCCGGGCGTCGTACGTGATCCGACCGGTATAGTGAGCGATACTGAATTCATGGCCACTGGCCCGTTTGATGAACGGACTGTTATTGCCGTGGATCGAATCGATGATGTAGTTCTGACCGTGACGACCCCGGCTGGCGTCATCGATGAAGCTAAAAATGCCCTTCGGTTTGTTCATCAGATGATCGACGGCCAGTTTGTTGTCGTAGAAGTGCAACTGAACGATCGGGATTTGTTCCTCTTCCTGCAATGAATGTCGGTTTCAGTTTGTTGTGATAAGAGATGACGCGAAAGTAAAATATTGTACAAACAAATGCAATGACCCATTAGTGTGTCCGAAATCGGTAACAAATTTGAATTATCCAATCAAAATTATAGTCAAATCAACTTTAAATTGAATAAAAAACAAATGATCATAGTGTCTGTGAGCATGAAAGTTTGCATAATTGTTTGTTATGAGCAATGATTAATATTTTTGCAACAATTCGACCTTTTTGGATCTTGTAAAATTTTCAAATTGACGTACAGAGTGGCCAGATTATTTTTTCATTATCGGTAGCTTCTCAAAACTTTTATCGGTAGTTATCGGTAGGCCGCCTTAAGAAGGCTTCCTCCGAAACTTAAAAGCTTTGTGAGCGGGGGAAGGATGACTTTTAAACCGAGCCATCAGTCCTTCAACCTCACACATTGGATAGTCTAATCTAGTGTATAATGAGTCACGCCAAGAGTGAAGCCAAGTCTAACTATTGAACTGTCAAACCGGCTACCTATCGTGCAAAGTAAACAAACATTACGATGCTATGAAAGGTCCACGAAGAAATGATCATAAACACGCAGTGAGCATAAAATTTTCATGGGATACGTTTTCTAATGATCAGTAATGAGAATTTATAGTATTTTTTCTTAAGATAATTTGACAAAATCACTGTTCTAATAATTTACTATAGTTTGACTACATTTGAAGTTGATGTTGTTGCCAAGTGAAAAGAAAGGGAATCTTTCCAAAACCAAAAAAGGAGAAACAGAAAATAGCATCTCCGCTAGCAGACAGACAGAGAAAGTCGATTAAACGTAAACAAACTCATCCGTTTGGATTGAAGTTGCAAAACGCATAGCATTCGATCAAATTGATTGACTACACGGAAAACAAAACATAGGTATTGAAAAGGGGTAGGTCACTCCGCACACCAATCCAGGGTCATATTTTTTGTCATTGTGCCGCAAGTGTGCCGATTGTGCCGGTCATATAGCAAGCTACGATTGTTTGTAAAATACCCATCCCGGGAACCCGGTATTTCTGACAATTTGAATGTTTTGGTTTGAAATCGGAATGAGGATGACGCGGAAAGTGGTGGGTGTGCGAAATGTTGATGTTTTATGTTCATAGGATGATAAAAGTCCCTGCCCTCAAAGGCAGAACAGAAACCTAGCCTTTCATGATGTGAAAAAGCAACAGTATATCAGTGGCCGGAAAGTGATATATCCGGTGGGTTATGTTAGAGACCGAATATAGAGGATGATGAATATGACTTCTGTAGTTTGTTTTGTGTAAGCAGCATTATTTGAATTAAGGGTACTAATGGGGTCTGATTAACTGCCTTTTTCTCTTGAGCCCACTCTAGAACCTACATTTCGTATTTAGATCTATAAGTGAACCGAGAAGTGAACTGCTGGTCTGATTTCCTCTGGTACATTCAATTAGAGAATGTCAAACAGCACGTAATGTTGTGAAAAACTTCAATGGCAGTTTTCCAGCAGTGCTCTCATTTTATTAACAACAATCTAATGCCTACAAGATTGTGCCGAAGATATGCCGATGGATGTGCCCAAGCTGTGCTGAATCTAATTTCGGCACAATGTGCTGAGTGACTTACCCCTTGGGTATTGAACATTTGTCATTGCTTAAAATCCGAGGGGAACGACTCTATCTACGATGCAGGAAATATTGTGTTTTGCTGTGGCTAGCTGCGCGTACGCTGAGCAGATAGAAAGAAGATTTATCACGATTTTGAAGATTTCCTGCAAAAAGATGATGCGCGATGCAAGTAGATGCGAGAAATGAAAGAAGATTTTTCGAGGATTTATTCGCTAGTGTGAGATTTTATGACCATCTAGAATTGAGACTAAGATGTGTCGCCCCCCTCGTTAAAATCAGTGATTCTCGGTAGGAAAAGTGAAAAATCTGTAGTTTTGAAGCTTTCGTCTGTGAATCGGTAGTCATCCCAAAAATCGGTAGGGCTACCGATAAATCGTTAGGTATGGCCAACCTGTTAGCGAATTTGATATATGCGATATTTTTTTTTTCACAAAAACATTTTCTCTACACCTTTGTCTTAGTCGTCATTGCATCAGCAGTGCTGTTTCCGTGCTACAATTTTTTGACATACATCGAAGACAACATATCAAGAAGACTGGCAACTTTGCCAGAAAATCCAAGCGACAGATACAGTAGCGCTGCGCTTGAGTGAAGGTGTAAGCAACGCATAGAAAAATGAAAGAGTTGCCAGTCTTCTTGATATGTTGTCTTCGATATATGTCAAAAAATTGTAGCACGAAAACAGCACTTCTGATCCAATGACGACTAAGACAAAGTTGAAAAGAAAATGTTTTTGTGAAAAAAAAAAACAAAACAAACTATGTTTAGTCATTTCGAGTAAAAATTTAAAAAAAATAAAGCTACATTTGTGTTCGATATTTTATGTTGTTTTTAAAAATAAAAAACACATGAAAATTATTAGAACGTTTAAATTATGGTCACTTAAAAAATCACAAAAATCGTAAAATAAGAAATACTAGAAGTTCTTGTTCTTTAATTTTTGTCAGTTTTCAAGTAGGGGAATTTACGTATTCTCGGCAACCTAAGCAGCGACCTTCTTTCTATAGCCTTTTTCTCTAAGGAACGCACACATATGCAGTATTGGTTTGTTTACAATCTTTTGCTGCCAGCTGCTCTAACAATTTCAGTCGAAAGAATTGTCAAAAACTGTTTTGAAACGCTTTTACAAAGCTCCAATCTTCTCTAGTGAGAGCGAGTATTGTCGGCAACCAGTTTTTCTTCGGCAACCGTTCCATTTGAACTGCATGTAAATCTGCTGTTCTATTATCGGCAATTCGAAATCAGCTACAATTTGTAGTGCGTGTGTTTCATTTCAAGAAAACCCTGCTAGATTGCTTTTTCTCAATGGTAAAAATATAGTCAAATTGAAGCTGAAAGCATAAAGAATCGTTTGCATGCATTCAGCGAAGTGTTTTCGTAAGAAAATCCAGTGAAAATAGTGTTTCAATTTGGGTTGCCGAAAATAGTCTGTCATGCCGAAGCCGAAGCCGTCCACTTTGACCACTTTGTCAAGCAGTTTTGGCGTGACTTTCTACCAGTGATTCCACAAAACTGGACCAACTAATTTTTTTTTTTTTTATGAAACGCACAAATGATGGCTACTTTTCTCGTGGTTCTAGAAGAAAAATCTCAAAATAATGTTTTATTTCAAAGTTCGAGTGGTAGTAAACGTCATTTTAACTGCTCGAATAAAGTGGTTAATTACCTGCTCAATCATTTCATATACGAAGATTCGTTGGTTGTACAAATACTGCATCTGCTCATTCACCGAGTTAACGACCAGTTGATCGATGTGATTCCGATGGAAGCATTCAAACCCGAAGTGGTCCGTTATGGTGATGGAATGCTGATCTCCGCTGGAATAGAGAATTATTATTGAAACCATTCTACCACAAATATTCCCCCAAAGACAACTTACTAAATCGCCCTTCCAAACGACATCTTATGATTAATAGTGTTAATAATCCAATCTACCAATCGAGTGTAGATCGTGGCAGCTAGCACATCTCGAGCATCCCGTGCCTCATCCGGTGTGTGCCGCCTGCGCTCAGCCGAGCCACGAATGATCACACAGTAATTCAACAGTGCCCACTGGAACTTTTTCTCGTCCAACTTCAGCAACGATGCCACTTTGGTAGCAACTTCAAAGTCCTCCAACTCCGTTGCCCCTTCATTATCTTTAAATCGAACCTCACCCATCAGCAGCACTGCCGCCAGCGTCCGGTAAATGGTTTCGAGCAGTTCCGGTGTAAGTTCGAGCTCCAGCAGCAGCTGCTCGAACTCCTTGAACGCCTGAACGTTGCCGTGAACATCGTCACGGCAGTACCGGAGCTTGGTTTCACCGCTCGATTCCGGAATGCGAAGGTAGCGATAGTTGCGACCACCCTCCAGCGAGAAATCACGCAACCGTTCCTCCGCTTCCATCGTGTCGTAGAAGTAGTAGAATATGTGAAAGTTCGATTGGTTCCTGTCTCGGGTGAAAAGAGGTAAAATCGGTGAATTAGTGAGCACGTTATTTCAAAACTACCCAAATTATGTGTAGAATACACCCAAATGGGCCAACACTGATCCTACCTATAATTGGGAGTGACAAGTTGACAACTGAACAACGTCGATTGGATTCATGTTGTCCTCTTGTTAACTTATAACTCCAAACATAGGGTACCCTTTTTTGTGAAGGTTCAGTTTTGACCGATCTGGGTGGATTCAACCTAAATTTGGGAGTTTTAAAATAGCGTGCAGACTCATAACGTCGAGCTTTACGCTCACTGCCGTTGAATACAACCGAAGACAACAAAACAAAACTACCCACCGCTTGGGTTTTTTAAACTCAAATTTGAGTTATTTGACCTCTGCCCGTTTCATTTCCTCTCGCTATTGTTGTCAAAAATAGAACGAAAGATTCGACTCAACCGTCTAGTTCCGTACGAGAAGCCAAAATTGAGTAATATGCGATATACCCAAATTTGAGTTAATTGAACTTAATTTTGGGTAGAAAAAATTGAAAATAACTTAGCGATGGGTAATTTTTTTTGCCGTCCTTAAATGCAAACTACTTTGAGCCGGTTTACCCAAATTTGGCTTATCGTACGGAACATGGGAGATGAGTGAAAAGAACTTAATTTTGGGTTGTTTTGAATTTCTGTGCTGGCTTCTTGATTTGTTGTCTTCGATACAACTCAAATTCGCATAAACGCTGGATTCTCATAGACTGAATAAATTGCCCTTGATGATGAACTAGCCCAGAAATGGCTTAAAATCACTGTAATCAAGAATAATAAATAAAAAATCCATAGATCTGCCTCCAATATTTACGTGATTATGAGGTAATATTTTGCTCAGTCTATTCAGAGTATATTCATACATTGTATTCTGTTTTCTTCATATTCAAGCACGGCGAATGAGAACACCCAAATTTGAGTTTGGTTAACTCATAAATCATATAAAGTGCAGGAACTCAGCGATTAGTAAATGTATCTAATGTATTTCCGGGATTTTCCAGGAAAAACTGGCCGCATATGAGAAAAGTAAAGATTGCATGCACTCAGTTTGTTGGTGCTACTCCTAGACTCAGCAGTTTTCGTAAATTTTCTTCATATTCAGGCAGTTTTTTTAAGTGTTGTACAGACATGGGGCAAATTTTCTCATCGCTGAGTTTCTGAACTTTTGGCGATTATGAGTGAACTAAACTCGTTCTCATTCGCCATGAGAAGAATCGAGGAAAATTTACTCATCCCATAGTGAACTGCGTTTTTTTTTTGCGAGGTTGAGTAAGCTGATCTCAATAAATGAGTTAGATTCAACGGCCGTGATGAAGATGAGACTAACACAAAACTGAGTTAAATTTTCAATCGCAAAAAGTGGAGTTTAGTTTTCATAGTATATGAGTAAATGTCACCCTTGTTCTAGTAGATTTTTGCTTACGACCAATGACTAGTAAGAATAACTAAAAAATGAGCTGAATTCGACTCAAAATTGCGAAAAGTAGGGTTACTTAGTGAATTAAATAAAATTCACCTCGTTTCCTCGATGAAGAAAATAGAGCGATATTTTACTCAGTCTATTAGTATACTCCTAGACTGAGTAATATGTTGTTCGATTTTCCTCATATTCAAGCAGTTTTTCCCGGAAACTGAGTAACCACACTTTTTGCAATTTTGTGTTGAATTCGACTCAGTTACTTACTGAGTTACTCTTATCGACCGTGGATACGAGGAAACCCTACACAATTTTGAGTTAGTCTCATCGGCCGTGAATAATCTAGTACTGCCACCATTCGAGCACTTACATGTTGGTAGAGGAAATCCGGAGCTTTTCCAGCAGGTACACCCAGAAAATGGCACCGGACAGTTTGCCGGTTGAACCGAATGTCAGCTGCGTTTGCACGATGCTCCGAGTCGAGTCCGAGTTCAGTGGCGTACCGGCATTGACCAGCGCCGAGAGGACCCTGTAGCCGGATTCGATCCGGTTGTACACTCCGGGATTGCCTTCGCCCAGGATGGCCAGATGCTTCATGCACATCTTGACGTTGGTGGTTTTGCCGGAGTAGCTCTCGCCGGACATGATAACGTGCTGGGGTTCCTCGTGGTGCAGCATATCCTGGAAGGCACTGTCAGCGATGGCGAAGATGTGCGGTGCATTGTCCGAGCGGGACTTGCACATGTACTTGGAGTGGAACTAATGGAGTGGAATAAGACGTTTCAAGGAAATTATTGTAAAAGTATCATCGAATCGTTTAATGGTCATGCTTTAGTTTGTATTTTCAAATTGGATTGAAGTACTCGGTTGGACTCGATTATCGGTAACTGCATTTTGTCACTCGACGATAGAGATTTCCCTCTAACAACATCACAATCATCCAAATTGAAATTACCAACAGATAGAAGAGGATTGTCATCTCTGTCTGATGGTGGTCTTGAACGCTGTCCAGACTGGAGAGTTATAACATGTTATAACGGTTGTCAAATAATTGCAACACAGAAACCACCATCAAGATAGCGCTATAATATGTTATAACTCTGTAATCTGAACTAGAGTCGGTGTATAATGAGTCACGCCAAGAGTGAAGACAAGTCTATCTATTGAACTGTCAAACCGGCTACCTATCGTGCAAAGTAAACAAACATTACGATGCTATGAAAGGTCCACGAAATGTATTGCAATAAAATATAAAATATAATCGAAGAAATGATCATAATCACGCAGTGAGCATTAAAATGTCATGGGATACGTTTGGTAACGATCAGTAATGAGAATTTCTGCTATTTTTTATAAGATAATTTGACAAAATCACTGATGTAATGATTTACTACAGCCGCTATTTTTTTTTTCTCGCTAGAAGTCATTTGAAGTTAATGTAAAAGTGCTCTGTTGCCAAGTGAAAAGAAAGGGAATCTTTCGAAAACCGTGATGCGAGTTCAACTGTTTTTCTCTTGGCGTGACACATTATACACCGACTCTAGTCTGAACAAGGCATTACTTTGCATGCTAGAAATCGGTGTTGGAAGAGACAGCAGTTAGTTATCGGGTTACCGGTAATCGAGTTCGACCTGTATTTCTGGCGTTCAGAATCATAAGGGCCTAACTGCGATAATCGATTCTCTTCGTCTATTTTCTCTTTTGTTTATAATTTGTCTGGATTCACATTTTCGGCGCGTTTGATATTTCTTTTGCTAGCTAAGGCCGTTCGCAATGCTGTTGTATTTTATAAGGATTGTTTCAATTTGAAACTAAAACAGAAACGCACCTCTCGCAATGCTGAGTTGCAGTTTCATTATTCGAGCACTATTTTGCACCAGATTTGCAACTGCTCGACTATTCTGTTTTATTTCTGAGCGAGTTTGAAACACGAATGGAACTCTGTTTCAAATTTCTTTGTATGTATTTAAAGATGTTTCGAAGAGCTTCACAAAAAACTCTATGAACTTCATAGAAAACAGTAAAGTTTATGGAACTTAATGATTACAAACATCTTTTAGAACTGTGCGTTGCGCTGATCGTGTTGCAGTTTTATTTTTGACAGTTTCAAATTATAGAATTGTCGAGGAGTTTAAAACAATTTTGAAACTCAGCATTGCGAACGGCCTAATTAACCATTTCATTCGAGCAGTTAAAATGACGTTTACTACCACGCGAACTTTGAAATAAAACATTATTTTGAGATTTTTTCTTCTAGAACCACGAGAAAAGTAGCCATCATTTGTGCGTTTCATAAAAAATAGAAATTAGTTGGTTCAGTTTGGTGGAATCTCTTATAGAAAGAAAGTCACGCCAAAACTGCTTGACAAAGTGGTCAATTGGCGTTGACCGTCAGTGATGCCACATTTTTTCGAAGTTCAATCTGTATTTTCATCGGAAAAAATCTTTTTAATCTGTATCTGGCTGACAAAAATCTGTATAATTTCTATATTACGGTCTCAGTACGGATTCACGTAAATATCCATTGAGCAAATTCAGCTCCCCTGATGTTGAATGTTAAGAATCACGAAAAATTACTAAAGTTTGCTTTCTAAAGAATTTGTCTATTTTAAAAATCTTGAAATCCTACAATCTTGATTTTTTAAAGTATTTTGTTTTTCTTCTACTGTCTGAAAATACAAAAAAATAAGCAACAGCTGTAAGAGACAAATCTGTTTTCGACTGAAAATTTCCTTAATGAAGTAACTATCACAATTCCCTAGATTTTCTAAATGTCTGAGATTAAACAAACCTTTATCTGGAAATTGGACATAACACAGAACTTTTACATAAAGTTTGGTCGAATTGCATGCAATATTCTGTATTTCTGTAATTACGCTTTTTAAATATAAAAATATCTAGTTGACTCTTTGACTCACAAACTGTAATCAACCACTTTGTGGTTCATCCTCGGGTTTTTTTTTTTTCTAAAATGGCTTGTTTACCGAGTTGACAAAAAAAAAAAAAAAACATTTAACTAACCTTCGTATCTGTCACCATGTGACATGGTTAATTAAACAAATAGAAAGGGAAACTAATATTCCTTACAACGAGAAATCAGAACATCTGAACATCAGAAGTCCATTCGAAAGATTCCAAGTCCATTCGAAGCTTAAACAATAATAATTTATTTAGTTAAAAATACGATTTGGGTTTGATGCTCAGATTGAATTCAAGCTGCTCAAAAGGAAGAAGCGATTATTCATCGGAATTAAAAAATATAAAAACAAAAACAATACAAAATATATTCCCTTTATTTAAAAAATCTGAAAAATCTGTATATTTTTCAAAAATCTGTAATCTGTATATACAGATATCTGTATCAAAATATTGAAAAATCTGTATATGTGGCATCACTGCGTTGACGGCGATTCTGTAGCTCTTAAGGCTGGCGTACAATGCATACGTTTTCGGGTTTTTTGACAGATAATGCATGGACTAACTGTCAAAAAACCTGAAAACGTATCCATTGTGCGCCGGCCTTTAGAAATACTCAGAGAGAGAGATAGGCGGAGAAAACAAAATACAGGGATTTGTTCCTAAATTATCTTGCAACCCTTGCTAGAAGCTAACATTTCAAATGACTTGTATTTTTTATTCGATTTAGGTGCAAAATAATAATTGATTGCATCGCAATATTTTGCACATTTCTTGGTACCATTCGTTAACCGGCGAAGATCAATTAATCAATAGAGTTAGAATATTGTTTTTGATTCCAAAAACTAGTTGAATTTGAGAAGCACACAAAACATAAAAGTGCTTGGATTTCTGTTCGATTGCAATACTCTCAAATTTATTCTAGTAAGAATAAGAAAAAATCTAATTGGAATGTTCGATTGGCTCAGATTATGACAGTTCATTTGGCTCAAAACATTCTCTCCGCCCATCTCTCCCTCTGAGTATTTCTAGTAGCTCTTTACACCAATGTTAAAATCCATAAGCAAACGTCAGACTGTGCGTGAAACATGGCGGACTTCGTACTATCACCTACGTACGTTACCTCTATGGTACTATCCCTTCACTCCACGGAAAATTCCCATAAGAAACTGTCAATCTTTGCTAGAAGAGACGATTTTTCGGCGGTGCCGTCAACGCCAATACAATCTCGCATCAATTTTTTAAATAGACCAATGTAACATATCCACCATTTTGAGAAAATCGAAGTTGAAGTTCGACATATTATTATTTTAACTATTTAAAAACAATACATTTGGCAATACTATTGTCAATGTAGGCAGTGTATAATAACGTTGAAAATTCAGAAGAAACGGTAAAATCACAATTTTACTTTGAATTTCATGCTACAACATAGAAAAAACCACATAGGACGTTTTGACAAGTCGAGTTGTACATCGGACATGTTACATTGGACGATTTTTCTCAATGACATAATCAATGAGTGTAACATTGGCCGTTTTGTCTACACGATACTAGATTCCCTTTCACAGATTTCAGAGTACAGTACCTAACTTTAGATTGGCCCCGCCTTTGGAAAATGAGCACCAATCATGTTAGGCAGTCCGAATGACCGAAGTAACAATCATATACCCATCATTTCAAACTGTACATTGGACAATTTTTGATCAATGATTATTATAAATAAATGAAGGTAAATTTGAATGGATGTTTTTGTTTCACATACAATGATAGAAGAGCAGTAGTTTGTATCGCTTAACTCAATTTGTTTACATTTGTTACATTGGTCTATTTGAAAAGTGACGCGAGCAATCTTTCACTACATTGTATTGTATTGTTAAAATTTCGGAAAATTCAAGCTGAACAATGCATTAGGTCTTAAGTAGCATAGATCGATTCTCTTCATCGACTTTCGCTTTCATTCATAATTTAGATACATAACCGTTTCTTGCCGTGTTTGTCGTATTAGAAGCTAGATAATAGTTTCTTTCATCGATATATGTGCTGAAAAAAGCTAGGAATATCTTAACATGGCCGTGAGGATGCAAAGAGAAAGTTGACGGAATGAAGCTGTAAATGTTACTTAGGACCTAATGTATTGTTTTGGTTGAATTGGTTCACTGAACTGTGGTAATGCTAAGAGAAAATCGATGAAGACAATGGACCATCGCAGTTACGCCCGTATGATTCTAGACGATAGATTATATTTTATTAACTCTAAATCCCAAGGAGGGGGGGGGGGAAGGTGGCTGTTAAATACGAACAATCGTCGCCTTCCTCGCATAACTGGTTCCAAACGTAAACAAGCCATAAGAAACCTACAGGGTTTGTTTACGTTTGGAACCAATTTCATACAAGAATGATCAGTAGGCTGATTTGACAGCACGTCCCACCCCAGCTATATCCCACACCTTCACTCCGCTAGTGATGTAAAGAAAGAACAAATTTAACCTTATTTTTTTTTTTGATAGTGGAAAACCTTTAATTTAAATTTAATAAGATATTGCTGAAAATTAAATCAAATTTGAAATTCCAGAAAGAACCTTCCCCTATCCGGCGATGTTGATGGTTGGCGTTGGTGTCATATGGATGGCGAGAAAAGGGCATAAGAATGTTTGTTTACAAAAAGCTTGTAGGGGCTTAAGGGAATTCATAGACCGTTCTTGTGGGCAACATTGGCAATTCTGAGATAGAGTAATATGCTTAACCTTCACGCGTTTGAATACTAAATAAAAATAAGTGCTGAAAGATTGAAACCTGTTTCTTCGAAATTCAACATATTTTATTCCAGTCATATCAATCGTCTCTTCAATATCGACTCCTGGTAGCCTGTCTTGGATGAGCTGTAGTCCCATCCCCAAGGAATCAAAAATATCTTCAAATGACAAAATGACAAGCGATCAACCAGCCGAACGAAATCGCTTTGTCAGAAATGAAAAGCAATACAGGTACACCTCGATATAACGTAACTGTCACTTTTGACTTCCATCGTAAATCTCTCGCAAATAACAATTGAATCTCGCTAATAACAATTAAAATTGCCAATATATTGAAGAATATCTCATCTCCAGAACAACATGTAAAAAGGGCATACAAGCTTTTTGTAAACAAACCTTTTTATGCTCTTTTCTTGCTACCCACATGACACTCACCAAAACCATCAACATCACTCGGTAGGGGAAACTGTCTCCTTCCCGGTGATGTTGTTGGTTTGCGTGGGCGACCCTTGGTAGGCGAGAAAAGGGCCTACACAGGTTTGTTTACAAAAATCTTGTATGCCCTTTTCACATGTGGCTCTTGATCTGTCCGATGGTGTTATTACAATAGAGGTAACTTGTTATTACTTTGCTTGTTTGAATGATCGTTTGCGAGAAATCAGCGATGGAAGTCAAAAGTGAGAGTTACGCCACCAACGAACCGACATGCCACTGGAGCATTTCGTTTGTCCACAATTCGATTTGTCAAATGAGTAATTCGATCTCTCAAACGGACGATCAGACTTGTCAAAAGGGGCGAGACGTAAACCAAGTCAATATAAATTTAACGTGTGTTCGTGTCCACGATATGACGCGATCGGATCAGTAGATGGCGGTAGTGTTTAACGTATTTTAAATACGGCGTCTTGAGCAAGAATTTGAATGTAGCTTCTATGAGCTGGCACGTCGGTTCGTCGGTGGTTACGTTATATCGAGGCTTACCTGTAATGACATAATCTTCTTCTTTTTTATGATAAACAGCTTCTGCAACACACCGGTGGAAGGAAGCGACCAAATTGTTGGTAAGCTGCTTCACGAAGTAAATCTGAAGATGATACACGTGTGGTAATGGATATTTTTATGTTATGCCTTTTCTCGATTCCGATCAAACTATGTCCTCATCCATGTGTATTGCAACAAAGCAGGCAAGCAATATATCATTATCCTTCTACCACTCCGATCGAGCTGTGTTGCAGAAAGAGTTTTTCGTCGTAGTCGTTGCAAGTCTTTTGTTTTAATTGGTTCCATTATGTGTTTGGATTCGCAGCCTATCCCAGATCCCATTGCTGCTCAACGACGCACTTACCCCACGCACATACTCCGGAGGTGGTTGGTTGGTGTTCATCGAAATTAGCACGTCCCCGATGAAGGTATACGTCGAACCGTTCCGGTAACGTTGGATCAGTTCGTCCAGGATCGTCTCCTCTGTGACGGTTTCCAGCGCGGCCAGATCTTCAACAAACATCTTCTCCGTTTTGTTATCGGCTGCCTTCAGGGCTCCCTTGATCAGTTTGAATTCCTCCTTCTTGGGAAGCTGCATGTCACCAATGGATGCCGCGAGCATCTTGAGCTCTTGGCTCAGCTGTAATGAAGGAAGTTGACGATTTAGGTCATCTAAAATATTGAAAAATGTTAAGTTTAGTCATACATGGTAATCATTTTCCGGTAGCTCAGTCAGGAAAGGATGTTCCATGATTTCCATCATAAATGGACGATGGTCGGGATTCTTCTCCAAACATTCCATGATAAAGTCGTTGTAGTTCTGAGTCCAATTGGCTGGGCGGTACAAAGTCGGCGGAGGATTGCGGACAATCTGAAACATCGTGCGGGTTGGGTGCATATCTCCGAACGGAGGTTTGCCATCTCCAAGCTCGATGGCCGTGATACCGAGAGCCCACACATCCGATCTGTTGTCGTAGACTTCGTCATCTGAAAATGAAGAATAATGTTTTGCAATGCAATTCTTTAGAAAGCAACCTTCAACCCGTTGTTACCATTTTTAGAGCTGCTGATAATTTCCGGTGCCATCCAGTTTGGTGAACCGATGCAGGTTCCACGCTTCCCCAGCGTGGATTTGCTGTCCCGCGAAAGTCCAAAGTCACATAGCTTGACTTCTCCTTCTTTGGTTAGCAGAATATTGCTTCCCCGTACGTCTCGATGGATAATATGGTTTTCATGAAGGTAGATCAGTGCTTTTCCAGTTTCCCGCAAAATGTAAGCGATTTGCTCTTCGGATACTCGACGGTTCTTGATTTGGATCTTCCTGATGACGTCGATCACTGGACCATATTCGCAATACTGTAAATCGATCAAATTTACAAAAAAATATATACGATTTTAGGATATCCTTCATGACCTACCTCCAACACAAACCAAATTTCATCCGCCTCCCCAGGAACGCGCTTCCGATAAACACCGTAGAAGTCCAGCAAATTTCCATGGTTAGAGTAATCCCGTAAAATGCGATACTCCTCCTGAATGGCAATTTTCAGTTCTGCCTCGTACTTTTGAATCTTAATTGCCACATTCTTATTGCTCGCCTTGGTATCCACCGCTGTGTACACTTTGGCACAAACTCCGGTTCCGATCAACTCCCCGAGCTGGTAGCGGTTGCCCGGATCGGGCAGCGTGTCAATTTTCAAGTGGGACATCTTAATTGGTGGGGCCTTTCACTTCCGATCCGATTCCATGCAACGTCTAATTGCACCAGCCGTCCGACACGTGACGAGCTGAATTGTTATGAGCGTAGAACATAAACAAAAAATCAGTCAATTAGTACTCACATATATGCTGACTTGGGGCAGCTTCCGCTGTGCCGCCCGGGATCAATTAGGGTAATCATATTGCCAAGCCGTGCTTGCATTGATACGAATTTTCACGCTTCATCGATGCTATAGGTACGTGGTGATGGAAAGGTCGTGACTTGAGAGGGAACAGCGTTTGCCCTTTCGTCGTTGCGACCGTTCGTAATGACATACATTCTCGCGGTCCCAGACCGAGTATAGGAAAAATAAAAACAAAGGAATTCAGCTTGCAGATATCAATTTACATTTTAATCGATTCGTGCGATTGCCATTTTTAAACTCCAACAACATTCAAGGTGTTGCGGTCGATCAAAACTAATTGGTTACAACGGTCGATCAACGCTCGGATGCGGTGCGGTTACAGATGTGTGGATGTCCACCGACTTCAGCTGAGCATTCGTCACGTGCGCCGCGGTGCGTAATTTGAGATGCGTTCCAGAAATGTATGTTCTTGGACGGCACGGTGTTGGAATAATGTGGTCACCCGAGCAGAATTGTGTGGTAACAAGGAGACACACGGCAATGCTTGCGTAATTTGGCACCACAATCGTGTGGGGGAAATTATTGTGGGCTGAGTAGCAGTGATTGAATTGAGCGATTTCTTTTTCTTTACTGGTAGTTTCTGGTTCATAGGCTGATTAAACCGGTATTACAATTTTTGTTTTGTTTTTGATATTGCCATAAATTCACTATTCTCGGTCTGTTTTCCTGATTTATGTCTTTTGATAAAACTCGGGCAAGTTCTGTTTAAATTTTCTGCGCAAAAGTTTAAGGATAATACTGCATCGATTCCATAATCTGATTGGCATAGAACAATTTGTGGTAAGTAAAGAGGATTGGTTGAAAATTTACCAGACAAATTACTACAGATAGTTATAAGTGAAAATTTAGTGGGACGAGAGGGGCTTGCTACCCAATAATTATCAGATTCCAATATAAACTATATGAAAAAAGTGGATTGAATTGCGAAAAATGGAAATACGGCTTTGACAGGCAGTGACTGTTTTTGGGAACCAAAATTGAATCATTTATCTCCTGAGATTTTCTCACCAAAATACTCGAATGAATGTGCTCATACACGGCCAAAGAGATCAACCCAAATTTGAGTTCAGTTAACCAGGTTTTTCCAGGGAAAAATTTCTGAATATGAGAAAAGTATAGATTAGATTCTCTTAGTCTATTGGTACTACTCCTAGACTGAGTAAAATTGTCGTCAATTTTCCTCATTTTCCGGTAGATTTTTGAGGTTTTCCACAGGATAACATTAGGTAAATTTACTCATAGCTGAGTTCGTGCACTTTTTACGATTATGAGTAAACTGAACTAAAATTTGGGTTGATCTCATTGGCCGTGAACGATGGCATGGTTTTACCGATGCCTAATAAAAAGAGGTCGCCGACAAAAGTCACAATCAGTTTTAGACAAATCTTTCAATCCGTAAGCTAATTGCTTAAAAATAAGCGTTGATTTAGAAGTCCAGCTACAGTGAAAGCGAATAGTTCGAAAATGGGTTTCAAGAAGCGAAAGAATCATTCGAATATCGAGTGCTGAAAAAAATAAAATTAAAAAATGGATCCCAAACCTGAATCATCTGATAGTGAAAATGATGGTTCATCACCGGAAGTTGCGAAGGCTCCTCGAAAAAGAAACAGTGCTGCTGGCGAGGGCCGCCAGAAGAAACAGAAACTGAATGACGAAGAATTTCAACAAGCATTACCATAGGGCGAAGAACGATCCTCTGCAGGACCTTCCGAAACAAACCAGTTAAGAAAATGAAGAGGAGCAGCAAAACAGCTCCTTTGGATCGTTCGTAACGATTTCGGATAAGTCCAAACCATGCATTTTAAATTATTGAATTGTTTTATCATTATTTTTAGAGACAATTACATACATTGAACTATTTTAAAAGTTCAAATATGTTTAAAGATATTTAGATAAAGTGACCGATATCTTCAACTACCTTAGACTTGCCGGCGCCGGTGGTGCAGTGATAAGCGTAACTGTTTTCTCATCCCTATGTGTCTGGGTTCAATCCCAGCCGAGGTCGGTGGGGATTTTCTGAGGCATAAAAATCTCTGGTCACGTCTTCCTTCGGAAGGAAAGTCAAGCCGTTGGTCCCGGCCCATGTGTGTTGAATGGGTGCGATATCCTACGCAGGTATGGAAGCAGCTTTTCTGCACATTCGATTGTCGTCAATGGATGGCAATCGATGTCCGTTTGCGATTGGCACTAGATTGCGGAACAGAGACCGACGTTAAATAAAGGAAAGAAGAACTTTCTTAGAAATCATCAACATTTGCCCTTGGCAAATACAATTTTTGTTACCCAAATTGATCCCCAATTTTCACAAGTTGTTTCACAAGTATTTGATGATATTCTGTGAAAATTTCAACCGATTTGATGGAGGTATTCTGATATGTTTATGAACTATTTTAGAAATCCTCTACTTTTGCCATTGCCAAATAAAATATTTTGACGTAGAACTACGTTTGACTACGTCACACTTTGCGAAAACCGATAATGGAAAATGTAACAAAATTATGAAAGAATTTGAACGTTTATAAAACAGCAGTCCCTGAACCAATTTCAGTCATTTTATCATCAATCGATCAGACATATTTCTGCACATCTGCTTAACTTAAGACTTTATCATTTTTCAAAATGTCACTATTGAAAATTGCACGAATGTGTAACTGTTGCTATGATAATTAAAACTATCACCGATTACCTGCGAAAAGCGATTTCCCTAATACAGATTTCAAAGTTGAATTCCATCCGGTCTCACCAAACTTTGTTGATTTAATCACCACGTGGTGAGTGGTGGTGTTCTCCAGTACACAACGAAAGGTTCCCCGCAAGCAGCTAGCTATCAAGGCTGCCCTCAACCGCTGATCGGATTCAGTTCCAATCACCGTGTGTGGTGGTGTCCGGTCGTCGGCATTAGCAGCAGCAGTGCTTTCGTTGTGTGGCGTTGAACATTGTTCTCCAGTACACAACGAAAGGCTGCCGGCAAGCAGTGACTTGTAGCCCACATGAGCATCCATAGAAGGAGGAAGAAGCCGCACCGCTATTGATCGGAATCAGTAGCTCTTTGTGAGTCGCTATGGGCCATCAATGCCAAGCGCGTCCCCCTCATTCCAGCCTTGAATTCCTAAAAATCATCGATAGAAGCCATTGTTTACAAAATCTGTTGCGCCTAATTTCAGCTCTATCTAGATATGTTTAAATATAACATACCATGCTCTTGAAGGCAACATTGGGGGTGCAATTTCAAAAACCAAAGACGGTCGCGGTACGAAAGTGGTCTGATTTTGATCCAGAGATGATGGATTTTAATTCTGAACAGGCCAATCGATAGGAATTTTTCTACGAATCTGTTAAAATTAGGACTATAATTTTTCAAAATGTCACTATTGAAAATTGCACGAATGTGCAACTGTTGCTATGATAGTTAAAATTATCACCGATTGCCTGCGACAAGCGATTTCCCTAGCACAGATTTCAAAGTTGAATTCCATCTGGTCTCACCAAACGGTGTTTATTCAATCACCGCGTGATGAGTGGTGGTGTTCTCCAGTACACTACAAAAGGCTCCCTGCACGCAGTGAGCTGCAGTCCACATGAGCATCCAGAGAAGGAGGAAGAAGCCCCACCGCTATTGATCGGAATCAGAAGCTTTTCGTGAGTCGCTGTGGGCCATCTATGTCAAGTGCGTCATACTGAGTATAAACATACTGAGCAAAAATTCCTATTCATACACCAACTACAAGCACCGACGAACCGACATGCCACAGGAGCATTTCGTTTGTCCACAATTCGAATTGTTAAAGGAGCGATTCGAACTTTCAAACGGGTGATCAGATCTGTCAAACGAGGTGACACGCAAACGAAGGCAATGTAAATTATACGTGGGTTAGTGTCCTTGCTCATGGTATGATGCGATCGGATGAGTAGATGTCGGTAGTGTTTAACGTATTTCAAATATGGCGTCTTGGGCATGAATTTGAAAGTAGCTTGTATGAGCTGTCACGTCGGTTCGTCGGTACTACAAGCACCTGCTGCAGTTAATATATAATATTAATAATACAGGGTATTCGGTTTCATAGTGCAAATAATTTAAGGGCGATAGAAGATCATATTTGAAGTAAAAAAAATGTTCTACGAATATGATCAAATCTCAAAGATTACTGAGTTATTGAACTTTTTCTGTTTTGGTATAAGCTTGCCATAAATTGGCTCTTACTCAAAAACAATGCCATTAAGCACAAAAATTTTTTTTATTAGGTTGCCCAACAGCTGTCTACAGCAGCAGTTGTTTTTTTTTTATTTATTTCGGTGTGAAACACGCGATAGCCTGTTTTCGAGACTCGCTATTATATAGTTGCTCTTTGTTCGTTGCTAGCAGTTCGGAGACTTTTGTTGCTACGGTGCAAAATGTGTGAAATAAAAAACACCATCATGTTTAGCTTCAGCCACCATGATGCTAAGCCAAACATTGGAGAGATTGTAAATTTTGCCAAAGCACTCGACGCGGATCCGGCTGAAATGGAAGCTGTTTATCGCATTGGTGAGGAAAGGGGAGTCTTCATGAAGTTCAAATTAGAGGAAGCGATGCTCCATGCTCTGACATACAATTCGGAGGATTGCGAATGGAACGATGGCAAAGGTACGCATGTCGCATGCTGGTGAATTCATTCAATATGTGCGTGTGTATGACTTGCCACCAGAGGTACCCGACAACGAGCTGGATAAAGTGCTGGGGAAATATGGAAAAATTTCCAACTGATATGTGCTTTGGGGTATATACAGGGATACGCGGTATATATATGAATGTGAAGAAGGAAATCTCCACGGCATTACATTTCTTCAATCGCAAAGGAAATATATTTTATGATGGCAACAAAGATAAATGATTTCTGTGCAAGGCGGATGGACACCGGAAGCTTTCCTGCCTCAAACGGAAGGCTCGGAAGGAACCGGAGAAGCAACTCAAGGAAATAGGAAAGCAGCAAAGTGAAAGAAAACAAAACAGTAGCAGTACGTATGCTGTTGTAGTCGTGGAAGGTGCGTCGTTTGTCATTAGCGACGAGGAAACGGACACGGGGTTGGAGATGTTGAATGAAAATAATGCAATTGTGTTATTTTTATTTTAAGTAAGCTGCATTTAGATACATTTTAGGGATAAACGAGTCTAAAACTTGTGTTTTCCTACGGGTTTTCCCTTATTCTTTCAAAAAAATACGTAATAAAGTGTACTGTTTTGTCTAACCAAAAGATGCCTCACAATGCGCTCTACAACTCTCTTTTAAATACCAATCTTCTATCTTGTTTAGTTTTGTCGCAATTTCGTACTAAACACATCATGTTGGGTCGTTAATTAATAGTTGCGTAAAACATGAATTCAACCCCACCGTGCGTTGCTGTTGACGTCTGTTTGCAGCGCGCATAGCACACTTGATTAGGCTACCTCAAAATGACGAGTTGACAACCTGGAAGGAGCGGAATGCCTAGCTCTGGTCCTCACATGTTCCTACTTCACGCCTCCCCGAGTCATATGATAACAAAAGACTACCAGCTGAGACATGAACACAGCTGGGTGGCGTAGCCTGGGCAATGTTGCCAGTCCGGCAATAGCAAAGTGAACAGGTGCGATGCAAACACTGGCGCGGTAACCATAGTACCAACCGGTGGAAACTAACGATTTTAAATTGACTCACTACTTGACTAGTCTATTGGTTCCGATCGATTAACGTACGCCATTCTAGTCGAAATTCTAGTACTACACTATGTTTGTTTTGATTCGCTATGAAAGTTTGACAGATAAAATGAGGGGTTCGTGGATTTTCCTATGCTTCGAGGGGTGTATCGATTAGCTTGGGACCGAAGATAGTACCAGAGCTGAGCCAAAAAGTTGAGCACTTTTCTTCGGGACCTTCTGATCTAAGAGCTACCTCTATGATAGTACGGTGATAGAGGAAATGCTTCACCAAACCCGAGCGTCTGTTCACCATGGAGGTGCGGCTCAAAACGGCATCTGTTCTCCATGTTAGGAGCGCCTAGTGCCAGCGTGGGACTCTACACAGAGTTGTGCACGATAGTCGCCCGGTGAGACAGGCAGGCCCAACAAGCCCCATTTAAAAAAAACATAAAGTTGCAAATACTGAAGAAAGAAATGCAGAAAAATCAGCACAGACCGACGCGACGAAATAATGACTACGATTGGAAACTCGGAACATGGAACTGCAAATCGCTCGGCTTCCTGGGCTGCGATAGGTTAATCTATGACGAACTTCAACCACGCAACTTCGAAGTCGTAGCACTGCAGGAACTTTGCTGCACTGGACAGACGGTATTGAAAAGCCGCCATCGAGCTTTGTAGTCCTGGGTAAGATGCGCCAACGCGTGATTGGTTGACAGCCGATCAACGCGAGGATATGCAAGTTGAGGATTAAGGGCCGTTTCTTCAACTACAGCAACATCAACATCACTGTCCACACGAAGGGAAACCCGACGTAGGTTCGTGCTTTTTCGTAGCTTTTAGTCTTCAGATTTGAAAGACAGTGGCTTGTTTGGCCAGCAGAAAAACGCTGTCCCAGGTCCATTCATTTTACAGATATTTATGGTCAAATCACTTGTTTATCTGTATTTCGCGAAACTTGTCGTTGGCGGTGTTGGGTTTCAATGGTTAACGGTATGATGTTATCAGAGAGGTTCGGTGGCTTGAGAGTGACCGTTTTTGCTTACTGAGCAGAACATCATGAGTCTAATCTCAGACCCATCCACATTCAAGATTGGTTAGTTTTATCAGTAAGCAAAAACGTTTGCCACTATGCAAATGGGCTCCTTTTTAATCATCGATTTGCTGTTGTTACCATGTAGTGACATTATCAAGAGTACATGGTAACAATAGCAACTCGATGATTAAAAAGGAGCAGGTTTGCCTAGAGGCAAACGTTTTTGATTACTGAACAGAAGACCGTGGGTTCAAACCAATGCTCGTTCGCGTTATATGATCGTTAAGACATCAATTCAGCTTATCGTTTACCATAACGAACCAACCCTCTTACCAAAAATCCCAGTGATTCCTCGTGGAAGTGCAAAGGACTCCTCGGCTTCCATGAAAGCGAGTGTCACATCAACACATCCCAACCCATTTCTTTCTTGACCTGCGTTCGGGCGCGACAACTGCTGGTATTTCCAAGTAGATCACCAATTTTCACACATTGAGGATGATTGCTAGTCCCAAGCATCGTCTATTGGTAGTAGCAATGATGAGTATCAACCGTGGGCGGTCAAACATGTTCATGCTCATGCTCAAATATAGAGAAGCTCAAGAGACATCATTCAGAATAGTAGTCTCAGAACATAAAGTATTTTCTGTGCCCAACTTTCTCGATTTCCGGCAGAGTTTAATTTCAAAAGTGCCATAAGCTTTTAATTTTTAAGTTACTGTCGCACCATTGCAAATTATTTATGTTTTCTCAAACTGTGGACATAAAAGCATATAACCAATCTAGTCGTACCATAGAGGTAACTCTAAGACCAGAAGGTCCAGAAGAAACGTGCTCAACTGTTTTGGCTCAGCTCTGGTACTCTCTTCGGTCCCAAGCTAATCGATACACCCCTCGAAACATAGGAAAATCCACGAAGCCCTCATTTTATCTGTCGAACTTTCAAAGCGAATCAAAACAAACATTGTGTAATACTAGAATGTTGACTGGAATGGAGTACGTCCATCGAGGTAGTTGGGTCCGATAGGCTAGTCCAGTGTGAGCCAATTTAAAATCGTTAGTTTCTACTGGTTGGTCGTACTTTCAATATTTTGGAACTTCGACGAATTTGTGAGATCTTAGGCTAGGAAAAATCTAAGTTGGCTGAACTTTTTTAGATTCCACACTTGATACAATTTTGAACATGTACTATATGACATTTTGATAATTTTTAAGTTTTAAAATTTAAGAAAATGTATTTTGGTCTAGAACCTTGTAAAGGGCTTGAATACCTATCTAAAATCATTTCAATCATTTTTCAATATCTTTGATCATTCCTCAAGATTCTAGGGCATTTATAATTAGCAAAGTTTCATAGCTGCGAAACTATTGATGATTTCTGACTTAGGTATTTTTTAGTACTCAGGTTGAATATTTGAAAATTTCTCGAATTTTGAATTTTTGGATTCCATATCCTGGAACATAAATTTCATACTTAGAAAATATTGAAGATTCTGAGGAACTTTATTATCCATGTCAGAGCTGATCAGTTCCTCGCCATGACGGATCAGAAAAACTCAACCTTCTCCGATTTGCTTAAAACTTGATAATGTTTAGGTGCTATTTTGAGTATAGTAGGCTGTTATAATCATCTTTAAATGTGTTCAGATTTGAGGACTAAGCGCCAGAATTCGAGCCTTTCTCGGTAGAGCAATTTTGAAGGCATTAAAATCTTGTAGCATCATCCATTCCTCTCACGCTAAAGGTCAGGAGCGCATATATCATCCCGGACAAGTCACGAGTGACCTAAAATGTTGTAAAGTGCCTTTAATACAAAGAGAAGTTTCCGTTGAGGTATTTGATTTAGCCATTTTAGTCGTTTCTTGCACTAATGCCCTGGAACCTCTAGATTTATTTTAAAGTCTACCAAACTTACAAAATTGAAGTTATCAAAAATTTTGCTAAGTCAAACTTGGTTTAAAAATTCGTTTTATACTTCGACATGAATGTTCACAAAAATGTTTTCAATGTCAAACTAGAATCCTTAAGCAAATAAAGCTTCCGTTCAATTAGTAGTAAAAATCCGTTCCCAACACAGCCCACCAGAGTATCTCGTTTCCCGTTTCCCCCACCAGCTGCCAGAATATCTTAAATTTTGCAATTTTCATACAAAACACAAACGCCTTCCAGTATCCAGTTTCGCCAGTAATTTGACCTTAACAATCCTTTCATGCTTCTTCCCGGCTAGAAACTTTGTTAGCACCGGCATTTCCTCTTCCGCGAAAGAAGCCGTCACCTGTTGGTGCTAACATTACACTTTGCCATTTCGCACCACGTTCACGTAACCACATCGATCGCAGATGATTGGATTTCGGTGACTTCGCGCGTTTTAATCCTGTTATGGCTATCGATTTTCCACGCCACGGTTCACCACTGCCCAGGACGCCACCTTTCCGGTGTCTAGATGATGCAAGATTGTTGGCCAAACAGTTTTGCTCGCATCATCATCTGGGCATCGATTTCCGATGCCTAATGAAATTATTTTCCACACACATACGCTTTGAACTCACATTAGCTTGCTGATGAACAAGTTCTGCAGGGTTGTTGTTTATCCAATTGTGACGTTATTGCACTTTGATAAGTTTTCCAATCAATCTTCTTCGTATAATCCGCACAAATTCAAGAATTTTCAACGAGGCTAAATATTATGATAGACACACAGTTTTTCATTAAAATTTCACGTTTATAACCACTTTTCAAAAGGGTTTATCGGATCGCGGAAATACATCTTTGATTACAAATTCTTTAATCAACAGAAGATTTCCAAATTGGCCTTTGCCCTTTTGAAAAGTTCACCAATTTCCACTTCAACGAACAGCGGCTGCCCGTACCGTTCGTTGGCTAGTCCTTTGCTTTTCCGACCGAACTGTTCAACTAGAAAACCGCAACTGAAAGTTTTCCCCAAAAGTTGCTCGCCAGGAAAACTGAACTGAGCCCGAACTGGGGAATCCTTTCAAGTGTCCCCCACGGCTCCCTAATTGAATTGCGCCGGTTGTATGAGTCGTCGGGACGGCCGACTGTCCGACCACGACCGACCCGAAAGGAAATTTGACCCGGTTGTTCCACGTTGGTGAGTTGTAATTTGTTCGCTTCATGCTTTGTAAACAACGAGTCATCTCCCACTGACAATTGTAGGGAAAAAGAGTTGGTTCTAATCCTTTCCCATTCCAACATGTGCTCTCCCGGGATGGAAGTGCACGTGAAGCCAAATGAAGTCACTTTACGATGGTGACCTCGGTTCAGCCGAATGAAGGTCGTTGATCATTTGAATAGTTTAATTGGTTTATCGATGTACGACATGATTGAAATGTACCCTGACCGCGTGCGTGTGCGTGTCGGATCGATGGATTTGATGCAATCGACCCGATTCCTGGAAATCAATTGGCTGTTATGTGTTTAATCCAGTACATGACATTCATTCGGCAGCTGTTGGACAAAAAGGCTCGAAAGTCAAGCTGCGTGAAATTCCTTCCTGCTAGACAACAAGCTGAGGCACAGTCCAGGAGATAATTGAAACATTATCTCCCATCGATTGTGATTCTGCTAAGATGAAAAACGGTCCTCGAAAGAATAAGGCCCATTAAATGGACCATAGAGATACAAATCGCCTTCATGGTGCAGTGGCGCAGAGCTCGATGAGAATGGAAGGAGGATCTGCTTCGAAGCGACTAAAATGGGTAAGCGGTGGCAGTCGGGCGCGTAATTCGATGATCTGATTATTCTGTTTTAGTTTGGGCAATGTTCTTTTGTGTAGTGCTGAATTGGTAATCCTATTTTCACCTCCGTCGTCGGTGCATCGGTGCGACTTCAAAGGGGCGTTGCATGTGTGTACCAGTAGCATTTGCAGTGGCCGCTGCGATTGAGGAGCAATTGTGATAGATAATGTGTAATGAGGTATTGTTCAACTTTCAGTGTGTTTAATATTGCTCATAAAATATTTTCGAAATCTACAATATTTGAGTAACATGCGTTGATATAAATCATACAAATTGACAAGAATTTTCCAAACAGCGTTCACAGTTAAAAAAGCGTTTAAGTTAGCATTTTCAGCCCAAAACTGAAACATTTCTCATATGTTTGTTGCTGCCAATGGTTCTTTCACTTATATACGATTTTTTTTCTGCAGAGTAGCTGAGAATAACTGATATCCGTCGCTTCCAAAGTTCGTTACAAGAATGTCCTCAACGAGACTTTTTTACTTCAAATGATCTTTATTTCTTGTATTTGTTTGGCTTAGGGTTTTTGATCTAATTTCCGTCCTACTAAGCACAACGCGCATTTTACCTCTCTTTTCTGAACGAGTTTAAACTAAAAATGTAATATTTCTGTCAGAGATGACTTCTAAATTTATTCACCTTTCCATACGTACCGTTGAATTTGATAAAGAGTCACAAATACTGCTTTTGATTCTAAATTCGTTCTACGAGTTTCAATTCCTTCCTAACGCATTCAAACGCCATTAGATTTTCTTCGTCCTACGGATAAACGTAGAAAAAGGGGATTTGCAGGGAGTGCTTCTTTTGTTTTGAGAACAATGAGCGTAAATATTCATACAATGCGCTCTAACAGGATTTATGTTGTAGCTAATGAACTAACGCATCGGAACAAACCTATTATTGATTTGTGCACGGTGAAATCATTGATATTATTATTCTTTTCTGATCGATAGAACGGAAATGAGTGAATAAGGCGAAGTAGCGCTCTACCCTACATGTATGAATTATCAAGTGATGCGTCTTTTCAACGTTAGTACATTTGAAATTTTAATTATATATATATTACAGTTCCTAGTCCTATCTGGCCTGTTTTTAGTATGACCACCTTGGTGGGATTGGTTTGTTTTTAATTCGAAAAAGGAGACTACTTAAAACTACTATTTACAACCAAAAGTAACCTATAACTACTATACACACCTAACCTACTATATACAAATTGACTATCAAAGTATGTTCTGATGTATTGCATTTCTGCACAAACCTAGTCTTAATGTCATCAATTTTGAAATCTAATGTTGCAACCAGTGTTGCCAGTATTCCAGATTTATCTTAATTTTCCTGATTTTTGATCGTCTTGCCAGATACACAGACAGACCACGTATATTTTCAGATTTTTTAAATATGTTCCAGATTTTCCCAGATTTGTTAAACATGCTGCTTTAAAAATATCACTGCAATTGATTTACCCTCTAATAAAAAATAAAAAGCCAAACTTGCTACTCTAATTAATAAAGGCCATCAACGTTGGACATTATTGGAATTTTAAGGTACTTCTGAAAATAGTTCACAATTAAGTGAGAGGCGAATTCTTTGTGAAATCAAAGGAGAATTTCAAGCTACTTTTGAGTAGAGCTACATCCATCTTTGTGGGCTTCGGGGTCGTGCGGCGTCACCCATTATTTAGGCGTATTGTGAGTGCCACGAAGTTGAGGGTTCGATTCCCGCTCCAGCCGGTGCAAATTTTGGTAATCTGAAAATTTCCCTACTGTTCTAATGGGTGTGGTGTGTTGTCCGTTGTCTAGTGTTAAATATTCAGTCCGTGCAACCTCTGGTTAAAGACGGTGTCAATTTTCTTGTCAACTATGATGACAATTGCATGTAGATTTTGTCAAGAAAGGAAATACAATCCGGAAGAGAAATCATAGAAAATTCTTATGATGAAACTTAAGGAGTATGCTGATACGAATCGTGCGAATAATTTCAATGGTATCCTGTCCAATATTTCTATGGAGATTAATTTTAATAAAATTTTAAGTGCAAATTCGGGGAGACTTTCAAAACCATTTTGGCAAAGTACTTGAGTACTTAGGTAATATTGAAAAGGATTTCAAAACAATTCTGGCCTTACCTACAAAGCAGTTTGAAGGGAATTATCGGATAAGTCTGAAAAGAGTGTGACGGTCATTCTAAAGAGTGTACCAAGGAAATTGTTAAGAATATTTTAAGAATTTCATAGAGAAAAATGGACACAAAATTGAGCCAATTCTTGGGAATTATTACCAATTTGATGGAGCTGTGGAATTGGAGAGTGATTTATAAGAGATTTCAAGAGGTAATGCTAAGAACTCTTAGAATGTTACTGGAAAAGTTTAGATATTTTCAAGATTATTTTAGGGGAATATAGAAAAGAAATATGATGGAATTCTAGGATGATTCAAATTGAACTAAAAAAAGGCGAAAAGTCGAGTTACCCGTAGTTTATGTAAACTGTGTGTGAGTTCCACGATGTTAGGCTTTGATTCAGCCCGGTAAATTTTGCTTCAAAATAAAATTGCCTTCTGGTCTGCTGGATGTTGTGTGTTGTATGATGTCAAGAATTAAACTGTAAATCTGATCAACCTCAGAGTAATATTATAATTATTTAGAACTAATAAAATCTTTAAATTATGGCACTGCTTCAAATAGTAAGAACTACATCGACTATTAGTTCCAAAAATCCATCCTTTCAAATTTCCTTGATTCTTTGCTTCTCATTCTTTTTAAAAAAGTTATAGTTTAAAAAACAATTCTAACCACATTTTCTGCTGTTTTTACCCACATTTAACTCAATTTTTGAAATGCTGCGTAATGGATATTTGAACTTTTTGGGCACACCGTGTCAATGCTTTTCAACTTTTGAATGATTTTAGCAATGCTAACAAGTTATTTGCTTTATATAATTTATTTAAACATGTAATTTATAACCATTCTAGTACTTTAAATAAATTCCAGATGATCATACTGACCTATTTTTACGGGAGATTAGCACATCACTTTGATTTCAATAGCATTATGTAAAAAAGAGGATTTTTTGGGGCATTCCAGATTTTTCCAGATTTTATATTTTACCTGGTCCAGATTTTTCTGAAAATGACCTGGCAACGCTGGTTGCAACGTTCGTTTCTTGGTGGAGGTCTGAAATTCTTGTGTCAAAGGGACTATCAAGGAACATCCTAAGTGACCTGGATATTGTTTCTGTGAGACACAGGAGCTGCGTATAGGATCGCAGGTGCTATAATTTGTTTGTAGACAGCCAGTTTGTTAACCATTAAGAGGCGGATAATTGGGGATGGGGGTGGATTGGGCTGGTGGGTTAAGAATCCCAAAAAAAAATTAAAGGTTGTTTCTTAGACACGACCGCAGTATGACGTAGAACTACGCAAAATTGATGTATGTCATACATTTTTGACTGTTATACTTTATCTTAAATTTTTCAAATATTACACGGTTATGGATCAAAACTCGCGACAATTCATGTTAGCATAATCAGACCACCAAATCAAATTGACGTTCTAAGATCACAAATAGCTTATTTGGTTGTGGAGTAATCTCGTCTGAAAGTTGAAATTTTTAAAAATCTCGAAAATCCAGGGTTGTAGCTCAGAAGGATCTAGGCACTTTAGAGTAAAATATAAAAAGGCATTTGCTCAGAATGCCAAAATCAGCGGTTTGGCTAAGTTTGGCTCAAATCGGTGACATCGACCACAACTTTTTTAAATTATGTACCCACTTGAGCTGGAATGACCCATATCTATTCACTATGTTTCAAAAAATGTTCCACTAGGGTGCACGCTCAATTTTGCGATACACTGTTCGTTATTTCCATAACCATAACAAACAATTAGACAAAGTTTCATACAAATCGTAGAAGGTCGTGTCTGATCGATTCGTCATTTGGCGTGAAACTGCTCATTATCATTTACCAAGTTTATAATCCCCTTTAAAATTTTATTACGAACCTTCGACCCCCTCCAAAGACATCGGTAGGCAGTGTTGCTCTGCAAACATCGTCACGAGATTCAAGAACGGCACCTCATGGGCTAACTACCTATTTACTGTGGAAATAGGTTTTCCCTTTTTACAGTTGAAACAAATAATTCGTAAGCTGTTTGTGTG